GCTCCTGCCACAAGACATCGGGGAGAAGATAGAAGCGACGCGGGGGCTGATGCGGCGGCTCACACGCGATATTAAAATACTGTCTGTAGGGCTTAATAAGTTGCACCCGGATCACTCCTTCGTGGATGCGGTGAAGAATGAAATTTCCCAACTCAATAAAACCGGCGTCTTTACCGCAACCCTTACCATCTCCAATGATTTCATAGAGCCGCAACAGGAAAAAAGCCTCATGGTATTCCGGATGGTGCAGGAAGTGATCAACAATATTATTAAGCATAGCCAGGCAACAACTATGAGCGCACATTTTTTCTATAAAAACGGCGCATCGGTTATTGAGCTGCACGACAATGGCATTGGGTTTAATGTAAATGAGCCATTACGCCCCGATAGTTCCGGACTCAGCAATTTGCGGAACCGGGCTTGTTTTATCAATGCCGATCTGAAGATCAGCAGCCGGAAATCAATGGGTACCATGGTAACAATCACCCTCTCTTAAACAGCATAACAATCATGGAAACGCCTTCTCTTAAAATAGGTTTAGTGGATGATCATACCCTCTTTCGTAAGGGAATAACTACGTTGATACAAATGGCCTGCGAACGACCGGTGGAGATCGTATTTGAAGCCGGAAACGGTTTGGAGCTCAGGGAACAGACTGCCCGGAATGCCGTACCGGATCTTATTATCATGGACATTAACATGCCGGGTATGAATGGCTTTGAAAGTGTGCTCTGGCTCAAAGAAACATTCCCTGAAATCCCGGTGCTGGTACTTACGATGATGGATAAAGAAGAGTCGATCATCAAAATGCTCAAGCTGGGAGTTAAAGGATATTTGAGTAAAGACGTAGAGCCCAAAGAGCTGGGAGAGGCCATCAGCGCCGTGTCTAACAACGGCTACTATTACACCGATTTTATTACCGGCAAGCTGATCAGCTCATTGCTACACTATGATGAGCATGGAAGAAATATAGCGCCGTTAAGCGAGCGGGAAACTGAGTTTCTTCGCTTTGCCTGTAGTGAGCATACCTATTATGAGATCGCAGCCATGATGCACCTCAGTCCTAAAACAATAGATGGCTACCGGAAAGCATTGTTTGAAAAGCTGTGTGTAAAGAACAGGGTAGGGCTTGCGTTATATGCCGTTAAGCATGAGATCGTCAAGCTGTAATTTTTTAAATGCTGTGTTGTTTTGTAGTCCTATTTTGGCCATCGCTTTCCACTTAACCCAGTTCGGCGTAGGCTGAGGTATAGCATTTGTGCGATTGCCGCCTACGTCGCACTATCTTCTAGCTTGCAGCTAGGATTGTTTAATGTAATAGCCACAGGCTATAAAATATAGTTTGATGTAGGCTAACGCACATGTCCACGCATCAGCCTACGCCAAACTGGAAATAAATGCACCGGTTGAAGCAGGCAGCCGATCCCACGTAACTTGTATTTTACCAATGGCTTCTTGTATATTACAGACGTTTAAACCCCTAAATTTGTCTTCATGAATAAGAGCAGCATGACACCTCACCACGGACGAAACGTAAAACGGATGCGTGATGTAATGGGCGTAAAACAAG